GTTGAATAAATAAGCTTTCCATTGATGTATGGTTTGTTAGGATAATTATTTGGCCGAGAGTTTGAAAATCTAAAATCTGGAATCTGAGGGTGCAAAAAAATCAAAATATTGAGAAAATCATCTTTAAAGTTGTCCAAATGAAGTTCTTAGCAATGCATATTACTAACCAAAAATGAAGTTTTTATATATTTACGGTAGGAAATTTACAAAATATCTTTATGGAACATGATCTTTACTTAATGTCCTAATGATTTTTGGCATCAAAGAAAAATCAATAATTTTGACCCATACAATGTATTTTCGGCTATTGCTACAAATATACCCCAGCGGCTTTAAATATATTATTTGTCATGCCAATAAAGCCCACTGAAACAGAATTCATTAGTTGATTATCAGTTTTCAGCTCTGCTCACCCTCTCTGCGTCTGGAGTTCTTCTTGTCCTGGATGGCGTCTGTCAGAGTGGTCATGATCTCCTGCTGTTTGAGAGACAGGATTCCCAGGCCTTTGACCAGCCCGGCCAGTCCGTACGCGGCCCCCTTCCGCTCGGCGTATTTGTCGCTCTCCAGCAGGAGCTGCAGGAGCTTCCGCACCATCCCACCGGCGTCCTCCTTTATAGCAGGAACCAAAGGAGAAAGACAGCTGGCCACCGACTCCTGGACCTGAGGACGACCAGAGACAAGCACATTAATACCAGGTGTAAACGGACCATCTGTGATCGCACAGACACGGATGCAATGGTATTATTTTTAACGAAAACTAAGGGCCCTATGAAATCCATTTTATTTTGTTTTAATGGTTAAATGAAATGTTTATAATCAAAAAGCATGTCTGATTAATACAATTTTACATTTTGTTTTTTAAGTTTAACCAAATTACATTTTTATCAACTGAATTCATAAAAACAACTTCATTTGTGACCCTGGACCACAAAACCAGTTATAATGGTAAATTTTTAGAAATTGAGATTTATACATCATCTGAAAGCTGAATAAAGAAGCTTTCCATTGATATATAGTTTGTTATGATAGGACAATATTTGGCCGAGATACAACTATTTGAAAATCTGGAATCTGTGGGGGCAAAATATCAAAATATTGAGAAAATCATCTTTAAAGTTGTCCAAATGAAGTTCTTAGCAATGCATATTACTAACCAAAAATTAAGCTTTGATATATTTACGGTAGGAAATTTGCTAAATATCTTCATGGAACATGATCTTTACTTAATATCATAATGACTTTTGGCATAAAAGAAAAATCGGTAATTTTGACCCATACAATGTATTTTTGGCTATTGCTACAAATATACCCCAGCGACTTAAGACTGCTTTTGTGCTCCAGGGTCACATTTATTATTTTGTTTTACAATATTGGGGCCCTATGAAATGTTTGTTCCTAGTTGGCCGTGATCAGAAATACATCTCAGGACTGATGTGAACATGCTGCATAATGTAAATTATAAATAATATATCAGTTATATCTGTATATTTGTTTTAATAATAATTAAAATTTATTTAAAAACGATTAAATCTGTCCAAATGAAGTCCTTAGCAATGCATATTACTAATCAAAAATTAAGTTTTGATATATTTATGGCAGGAAATTTACAAAATATTTTCAAGGAACATGATCTTTACTTAATAATCTGTAGTTTTGACCCATACAATGTATTTGTGGCTATTGCTACAAATATACCCCAGCGACTTAAGACTGCTTTTGTGCTCCAGGGTCACATTTATTATTTTGTTTTACAATATTGGGGCCCTATGAAATGTTTGTTCCTAGTTGGCCGTGATCAGAAATACATCTCAGGACTGATGTGAACATGCTGCATAATGTAAATTATAAATAATATATCAGTTATATCTGTATATTTGTTTTAATAATAATTAAAATTTATTTAAAAACGATTAAATCTCAGTTAATAACTTATTACCCAGTTCATAAGTACCACCAGAACTAATCAAATCTTTACTCAATTGTCAGTTAGTCAGCTGAAGGTTAATCAAAGTAAAATGACAAAAAAAAGGAATTAAGATACTAAAACTAAAATTGAAATTCAGTTGAAAACAACAAACAAACAAACAGGGAAAAATTCATACTGGACGGATGTTACTATCAGGCAAACACACAGAAGGAGCTTACCTGCTGCGAGGGAGTGGAGAGGGCTGTGATCAGCTTGGCCACGATGGGTTTGACTTTAGGGTCGCTCTTGTCCAGATGTTTGGCCAGCGAGCCCATGAGGATGACCACGCTCTGCCGCACCGAGTCATAGCTGGCGTCCTGCGGCGCGTTCTTCAGAAACTCCTCAAACACGGGCAGCAGCGAGTTCACGTTATCCTGACAGACAAAAACAGAGTCAGTTTTAGTAATATTTACAGTTTTTGTTTTTCAGTTAATAATTTTAGTACTTCAGTTTAAACTTTCAAATTTTAGTTTGAAAAAGTTTATTACCTATTTTATAATTAATTTCACTTTATGTAAATGCATATTCACTTGTGCATTATTTTGAAAATGTGCATTACTTTACCTGGTGAAATATTATATTTTTATTTCATTTACAAAAATGCATATTCACTTTAGAAACGTACATTATTTTAAGAGGCAAAATAATGTATTTTAATTTGCTATTATTTTGCCACAATGCATATTCCCTTTAGAAATGTCAATTATATTAGCTGGTGAAATGTGTTTTTTATTTTTAGTATTCTGCTATAGGGCTGCACGATTAATCGAATGCGACTGTCATGCGTATCTTGTCAGTAAAGCCGGTTCTGTGATTAGTAGTAAATCTCCATCACCTGCTTTCAGATGGAGCGGCATTTACTACACAGAGCCATAGTTCACTTACAAGCTACGCAAAACCGCATTCATAATCGCAGACGATATAATCGCGCGATAATGAAATCGAAGAAAACGTTCTGCGATTATGAAAGCTGTTTATGTGAAAATACCACATTTAATATGTTTTTACTCCAAACTCACTTCATAACGCTAGTCGAGTATTTGAAATAAATCCTTCTGTGAAATGATGTGGCTTCTTACTAAGGTTGTGATGGTGAGGAAATTTTCCCACCGGTTAATCGACGTGTGACAACACCGATAATACCGGTATCACCGT